ACACACACACACACACACGCAGACACACATACACAACAAAGAGGCACACTTAAACACACAGAAACACACACAGACATACTGAAACATACACGTGGACATACACGCGAACACACACACACATTAGCACACATACACAAGGACACAGACGCATACATTCGAAGACACACACGCAGGTACACAAGCAGACAAACAACATACTCAGAATCATGTGTATAAAAACACGCCTACACACTCACACATATCACACACACGCGCGCGTGCGAACATACATATACTACACACCTTGTTTAATAATAAATTGATAATGCAATATGGGTTACATTACATTCAAGGTGGCGTATAATCGCTTGTAAGTATGAATTGAAAAATTTAAGATTAAATGAATAGGGATAGAAATATAGAAAAATGGAATTTTTCAGGTCCAGTGGAAGTTGGTTCCACAAATGAGCAGCGGAGTACTCTAAACTTGTTTTATATCAATCTATTCTAGGTTTAGGCAAATGTAGTAAATTTAGTCGCTTGCTGTTTATAGGATTTTATTTAATTAATCGGAAAAGGTAGTTTGGAGTTTTTGAGATAAAATTTTATGAATAAATTTGGCCTTGTTGAAAATTAAACGTTTGCTAAATACCAATAGTCTTAGATGGTTATAGAGATTATTTTTTTCGATATGTTTACTATCTTAAACTAGGCGTAAAGCACGGTTTTGAAGAGAACTTAGTCTTTTAACATTGGATTTGGCGCAACCATCCCAAACTGTGGAACAATAGTCGACATGTGTTTGGATGTAGGACGCGTAAAATACTTTTCTTCCATCTTCGTCTAGAAAGTGATGAATTTTGGCAAGTTGATAAATTTTTGTGCTATTTTCTTAGTTATGACAGAAACATGAGAATTCCATGTTAAATGGTTGTCTATTGTAAGGCCTAAAGTTTTGTGTTCCGTTACATTAACAATAGGTAATTTATCAATGTAGAGCTCGAGTGTTGGTATGTGCAATACTAATGTTTGCAACTTTTGTCTAGTTGTTATAAGCATAAACTTCGTTATATTTATTTTAATTTGCATGCGATTGCTGTTGCTCTATTTACAAAGATTGTGTACCTCTTTCTGTAAAGATCTTTCTAACTCATTACAATTCTCATCACTAGTATATATTGTACAGTCATCAGCAAATAAATCGCATGTTATACTAAGATGTAATGGAAGGTCGTTAATATACGTGGCAAATATTAGTGGACATAAAATCGACCCCTGTGGCACGCCTATATTTAACTGAGTGGATTCTGACAGGCGGTTGTTGAAGGATACTACTTGATGTCTATCAGAAAAAAATGACCGCATTGTTTCGACTAAATTATCTTTAGTTTTAAATATTTTTAATTTATTAATTAGAATATCATGATCAACCATATCGAAGGCTTTCTTAAAGTCTAGAAAAACTGCACCGCAAATTTGGCCGTTGTTGTTGTTAAAGTGCCAGTTGTCTGTCATTTTTGTTATCGCAGTATGGCAAGAGTGCATAGGCCTCAACCCATATTGGCTATCAACTATCAGATTGTTGTTATTTAAATGCTGAAACGTTATTTTATGTATATGTTTCTCCAATGGTTTGGATAGCGAGGACAGTGGAGAAATGGGTCTATAACTGCCAAGAGAACTGTTGTCAGCTGAACTAGGTTTGAGTAGAGGATAAACTCTGGCAATTTTAAATGCTGATGGAAAGTAGTTCTTGGCAAGGCACTGATTATATATGAATGTTAGGGAGTCACTAATGACTGTTGCAGCACATCGAAGAATTCGATTACTGATTCCATCTAAGCCAGAGGAGTTTGTTTGCTTGAAGATGGAGAGATTTTTTATACACTTCAGCAACAGACAGAAGTGGGATCTCTGGAGAAATAGTAGTGGTGCATTTTACCTCACAGAATGATGCTAGTAGGCCTAAGTCACACTGTGAATCTGGTATTGATGACTTTAAATACTCAATTTCTGATTTGAAGAAGGAACTGAACGTTTCACATGTTAGCGAATTAGGTATTGCCTGATCTGAACAATGTTTCTTATTGGTTAGCGTATTAATAGCCTTCCCGATATCGGCATGAAGAGGAGGAAGACCAAGAGGTAGATGAGAACCAGTTTTGGTCACACTATCAGACTGGCAATTTAAAACCTACTTTTTTTTTTTTCAATTTACTCGCCAATGAAAAAAGAAGGAAGACGAAGGGAGAATGAGGAAAAAATAAGAAAGCAACAATAATTATATTATATCGAATTTAACGACATTTTTTAAATTTTATTTTAAACTGTGGAATTATTTCCTCTCGCTGCATTCTATTTATAGCAACACCGAACATAGAATAAAGCAAATATTTCTTCTACCACTGCCGGATCGATCCCTTCTGTTTAATAATTTAAGCCGCCTTGTATTACAGGATTCTGTTGGATATCGTGAAAATATTTAACTACAGAAGAATAACAGGGGAGTCAGGACTTTCGGCCTGATCCTGCCTGGCAATTGAAGCTCAGTAATTGTTGTCGGGTCACCGGGGTGGAGAGGCTTAGGCTCTTGCCTGTCATGTTTTGTGGTTGCAGGGTCGGGGTTTCCATCTTGACATGTTTGTAAAATCGGGTTGCATTTCCAAGTAGACCCGCCCAGTTTAACTGGGTACACGGAAATGCCCTGAGAAGTAGAGAAACTGGCTGATGTGACCCATCTGGTCCTGGCCAGTGCTGCCGAAATTATTATTATTATTTTTGTTGTTGTTGAGAATAGTACTAGATGCTTTTTGAAAAGATATTAAAACACATTACAGGTTACCAAATTTTTAATTGAAAAAAAAAAAAAGGTCGCCTTAGACAGCTGCGGGGTTAGGGATTTCTGAGATGCTCTCTGCATGTTGCTTAGCATTCTACAGGGAGAGACCGAGTCTTAGTGATTAAAACTATGTACGATTTTATAATTTTTTCGATCCTCCCGGCTTTTGAATCAATAAATGAATTCATGAATATTCTTCTTCTTCTTCTTTCTCTTTTTCCTCTTCTTCTTCTTCTTCTTCTTCTTCTTCTTCTTCTTCTTCTTCTTCTTCTTCTTCTTCTTCTTCTTCTTCTTCTTCTTCTTCTTCTTCTTCTTCTTCTTCTTTTCCTTCTTCTTCTTTTTCATCTTCTTCTTCTTCTTCTTCTTCTTCTTCTTCTTCTTCTTCTTCTTCTTCTTCTTCTTCTTCTTCTTCTTCTTCTTCTTCTTCTTCTTCTTCTTCTTCTTCTTCTTCTTCTTCTTCTTCTTCTTCTTCTTCTTCTTCTTCTTCTTCTTCTTCTTCTTCTTTTTTTTTTTTTTTTGTTCACTCGCTGTAAATTATTTCGGAAATCCTCTAGCTGTTCGCTAATTTGGACTTTGGCTTTGTGCCAGGACCTGTGTTGTGCGTGTACGTCCGTTTAACTGGCTTATGTGTGTGCTGTTGGTTGTTCCTTGCCGGTCAGGCAGATGCACTCTATCTTAAAAGAAAGCTTCCAATTAGACAACTTGTACGACATGCTTGTTGGAGTGGCAGTGAGTATATTCTTGTTTTTTTTCCAGAATCAGGCCCCGGAACCCACGTGGGGAGAATGACTGAAAAAAGAATTGATATCATTGCACTCAGGAGATTCCCACACGTGCTCCGTCCCTCTCTTTAGTAGCCAACGAATAGTCGACATGCCAATAGTACCTGATTAAAAGTGCGGCCATGTTTCCCCTTTAGTGTTGAATAACTTATAAAACCTCTATCACCCCAAACTGATTTAGTCTTTCAATGAATTGATTCAGTCTGTTTTATTTTACTGTTCATTTGATCCCACAGAGTCATCCCCACCCCTGCTTTATCACAATGTAGCTCACCGCCCAGAAGAACGGCAGCAGCTAATCTATTAGCCTGCTCCTTACCTCGCACACCTGAATATCCAGTACATAAAATCCATGATCTACTCCTGATATAAGTCCAATCATGTGGAGCAAGCCAATCTTCAGCAGGAAACCAGTTTCAATTTTTCGAAGCATGCTCTTCGGCTTTTGCAGACTACAAATAAATCCTAACTTGCACAGTTCGTGGCTAATGCACTAGCCACTTGGTCCTAAATCCTCAGGCCCATCACTCCTGCCCTACATACCTCTAGAATTGGTTTGAGGTTTTGAGGTTTTGAGGTTTGAACAACTGATCAAAATTATGTCACACCGGTAGTAATCTATAAGTGCTCAGTTTTTCCTCTAACTGAAGCCTGAGTCTGAACAGTGCGCAGGTTCTGTAGGACTGGCGATTGTCCTAAAATACTTTTGGTAGATTTGTTGTAACTCTAAATTGTGCCGGGCAGCGCCGTTAGGCTAATCTTTTCGATTTCCAACTGCCAGGGTATTTTTTTTTTTTTTTTTTTTTGTGAGCAACAATGCACACGGGGTCCGATCTCACTACCCGGAGACAAGGGGGAATTACTAGAAGTTAGAGTCCAAGTGACCAAATCCCAGCCCTAACCGGGGATTGAACCCAGAACCTCTAGCACTCGAGGCAGACACCATGCCTCGAGACCCCGCAGCCCCCCAGAATTGGTAAATACAGACAGCAAATGCAGGTTCTATAGGAGAACAAACGAGACAGGCAATCAGACAGACAGGTTAAAATCGATGCCATATGATTCGCTTGATTCTTCTTTTAGATAGTTACAAATACGACGGTACAAATACGGTCGACAAGCTGGCTCGAAAACTTATTTTCTTATCTTCCGCTTCAGTAATTTTGAAAGGTAGCGTATCAAGTTACATTCTTGTTGTTGTCTTGCTTGAGTGTGACTGTCAGTGTGTGTGTGTGTGTGTGTGTGTGTGTGTGTGTGTGTGTGTGTGTGTATGTATAGGCTTATGTCTGTGTGTGCATGTGTGTGTGTACGTGATCTTGTTGAAGGATATGTGTGTCCAGCAAATCTCAGTGTGTTTCCCCTCAGTTTCTATCTTTTATTGGAGGGTTGAAATATGTTTTATGTTAAGCGTATCCTTGCTTCTTTTCAAGAAACGATTGGGTATTGGTGTATACTCTAACGCTTGTGGTTCTGCCCCCATCTGTGAGTTTCTCTGTCAGTGTACCTCCATCTGTGAGTTTCTCTGTCAGTGTACCTCCATCTGTGAGTTTCTCTGTCAGTGTACCTCCATCTGTGAGTTTCTCTGTCAGTGTACCTCCATCTGTGAGTTTCTCTGTCAGTGTACCTCCATCTGTGAGTTTCTCTGTCAGTGTACCTCCATCTGTGAGTTTCTCTGTCAGTGTACCTCCATCTGTGAGTTTCTCTGTCAGTGTACCTCCATCTGTGAGTTTCTCTGTCAGTGTACCTCCATCTGTGAGTTTCTCTGTCAGTGTACCTCCATCTGTGAGTTTCTCTGTCAGTGTACCTCCATCTGTGAGTTTCTCTGTCAGTGTACCTCCATCTGTGAGTTTCTCTGTCAGTGTACCTCCATCTGTAAGTTTCTCTGTCAGTGTACCTCCATCTGTGAGTTTCTCTGTCAGTGTACCTCCATCTGTGAGTTTCTCTGTCAGTATACCTGCATCTGTGAGTTTCTCTGTCAGTATACCTCCATCTGTAAGTTTCTCTGTCAGTGTACCTCCATCTGTGAGTCTGTCTGCCATTATATCAATGTGTTTAAGTCTGCGTGTGAATATACCAATCCCTAAAAATATTTTTTTTTTTATCAACATCATTAGGTCTGAATGTCTTTATAAAAACAATTACAAGCTGTCTGTCCTCATGATAGCATCTAAAGGTCTGTCTATCCTTACAACAGAATCATTAAATTTGCATGTTCTTATATCAGTATCTACAAGTCTGTCATTATTTCAACATCTGTATGTTTATCTGTCCTTTTCTCAACATCTGTACGTTTGTCCTTATATCAACATCTGTATATTTGTATGTCCTTATATCAACATATGTATGTTTGTCTGTCCTTAAATCAACATCTGTATGTTTGTCTGTCCGTATATGAACATCTGTCTGTTTGTTTGTCCTGTTTTCAACATCTGTCTGTGTGTCTGTCCTTATATCAACAGGTATAAGTTTGTCTGTCCTTATTTCAACATTTATAAGTTTGTCTGTCCTTATATCAACATTTATGTGTTTGTCTGTCCTTATATCAACATTTATGTGTTTGTCTGTCCTTATATCAACATTTATGTGTTTGTCTGTCCTTATTTCAACATTTATAAGTTTGTCTGTCCTTATATCAACATCTGTATGTTTGTCCGTCCTTATATCATCATCTGCTATCTTTTATTTATGTTTTCTTCTTCTCCTTTGCATTCCCTGGCTGTAAACAGAAAATCTTGTTATTAGTGCAATTTTGAACTGTGGCTTTTTTTTTAATACTCTAGTTTTCCTTGCACCACACACGTTTTACAGATCTGACTTATTTATGTGCTGAATGTTGGTTCCTTGCCTCTCAACGTTTGTGAGTTTCTTTGTCTTTTTTATCATGGTTTGTGAATTTATGTCTAGTTATCAACGTTTGTGAATCGCTCCGTCCTGTTATCAACGTTTATAATTTCCTCTGTCTTTATCAAAGTTTATGAACCCCCCCCCCCTTTTCCCCGCAATCAACGTTTGTGAGTTTCTCTGTCTCTTTATCAACGTTCGTGAGTTTATCTGTCTTGTTATTAACGTTTGGGAGTTTCTCTGTCTTCTTCTTAACGTTCTTGAGTTTCTTTGTCTTATTGTCAACGTTTGTGAGTTTCTCTGTCTTGTTATTACCGTTTGTGAGTTTCTCCGTCCTATTATCAACGTTTGTGAATGTATCTGTCCTGTTTCTCTGTTCCTATGCAGGAAACATAGGCGGTCATAATTTGCCATCCTACCTGATCTACAGAATCACAGTTCCGGTCAGCGCTTTTGTCGCGACATATATGGGGCCAAAACATCAAGGTTTTTATTACGTTGCTTCTCCTCTATCATCTGTCCATCTTGCTAGTTGTCACCAAGTCTCTGGGTCTTTTTCCTGCATTGATGTATATACCTTTCGTAATAACCCCCCCCCCCCCCACACACACACACACACACACACACACACACACGAGATAATGGCAATTTTGTTTTCGTTTATCATTCTTTCCGCACCTCACAACAAGTTCTGGACTATAATTTATGTGGTAATTTATCTACATTTCAACCTAATATATTTTCAAAGAGAGTCTTGGGCGTTTAAAAACTCTGAAACAGAAAAGGTTGCATGAGGTTTCCTATAGCTTTCGCATAATCTCTGCATTTCTATTTCTAGCTCTAGGCGACCATAGTAGGCTGGAATTCACGGCTGGGCTAATTCTGTTATTGTGGTAGGAATATGATTATTATAATTTTTTTTTTTTAAATTTATTTTATAAATGGTGTTGTCCTGTCTGAAGCATGAGCTGGCTTAAAGGACTGATTTCGTGTATGTGACAGCTTTTAGTTTGTATTGCTCAGCTCAAAAAACGCATTGCTGCCTCTGCTATATAACACACAAGCTTACTACTCATATTCCCAATGCGTTTCTGTGTCGCAGTTAGGGTGTGTAATGAAGATTCGCCATCATCCTTTTAGTGTGTATTTCTATTTACCAAAACCATTTGTGAACATGTCTGTTCAAATATTGGAGAGATACCGATTCCTAAGTAAATAAAGTGAAAAAGCTCTTTGCTGTCATTCTGTTCTTTTTTGGTAAATAATTCTGGAAATATCAAACCTGTACTTGAAAAGAACAGATAGTTAATTATTTGTCCTGATGTGAAAACTTCCTATATCATTATGTCAGCATTTACATTTGCATACTGTGTCAAAGTTTCTCTTGCAAATTAGATTTATTTTTATAGATTTTTTTTTTTTTTTTTAAATCTTCTTAAAATCTATGGTTTAGTTCATGGTTTGGAAGCCTCATAAGCTTTTCAGACTAATTAAGGTATTTATTCTGTCTGGGAAATCCAAAGTTTTCCAAGTCAATAGTTTTGTGTGTGTTTTAAATGGCTGCTTTTCATTGCTGCTGCATTATTCATTAGCCCAGATTTTGAACATCGTACAGCTTTGCACTAATTCGTTTTCGCTGCTTAAGCGCATGAGGACGTGTTCCAAAATAGACCTACCTGTTGCATCATTTGAGTACTATTTCATTCATCAATACCAGATACGAATCATGTGTTACCTTCCTACATCTCCTGCATGAACTCGCTACATCTCCTTTACCAACATCCAACATATTTTGCACCAACTTCTACATCTCATGCACCAACTCCTTTAGACTTTCCCACTATCTCCTTACATCTCCCGCTCAAAAAACTCCACATCTCAAGCACCAACTACTTCATACTTACTCACCAACTCCATACATATCCTGCACCAACTCCCTACATCTCGCACACCAACTCCTTAGCTCCCTACGTATCACACACCAGCTACAACTGCTGACTGACTTTCTACCCCACCAGGACATCACACAAGCGATAAACACCCGATGACACAAAGTGCCACAATGTGGGTGAGGATCACCGTGGAGAGGTCGCAGAAACCGCTATATTGCGGCCCCTGGCAAGAGCCAGAGTTGGGCTTCAAATAACGAAAAATTTCATCCTAAAAATGGACGGTAATTATATGACTACTACAACTGCTCGCTAAACAACTCCTTCTATCTCACACACCACTTTCTGACGTCTAATGCACCACTCACCAATGCCATATGTCTGACGTACCGACTACCTATGTCTCACTTACCAACTTCTGAAGTCTGACGTAACAGCCTCTTTTATCTCACTCACTAACTCACGTGTGACGTACCAACTCCTCAGGGCACACGCTACCCAATGCTTTCCTCCCTCTCTGCTAACCTACACATTCCTAAACTAGCAATACCAAAATCTCCGTCCGCTACATCAGTCTACTTCAATACCCTCCATTCCTCATCCTCTGCTTCATCTCAGCCCTAACCATAAAAGGCCAAACACCGGAAGTAATCCCCAGTTAGAAACGAACTTGACACCATTCCCAGTAACCGTGACCTTTACCTAAGTACTGTTGACATGCTTACTTCCGGGTCAGCTTACAGTGACCTGGCAACAACATATTTGGCTTCATTAGCCGCCGGAAATTTGAAAAATAAACTGACATGGCGGCTGACAATCTCACTTCTGGAACTCGCTGGACCGTTGCAGACGATATGACGGGTTTCATGGCGGATCAGACTAACGGTTTCTGTAGTAATTTTTGGGGATAACGGAGTTTTGAAATAAAGACAATGTGTAACTGAGATTCTGATGCGGGTAGGGACAAGGCGCAATAGACTCAGATAAGCCGTAACCCATTTTGAAGGACAGTTTGACTGAACGGCGAGGACACAAACATCTAGGAGTTAATTGTACACACACACAAACACTCTCTCTCTCTCTCTCTCTCACACACACACACACACACACACACACACACACACACACACACACACATACACACTCACACAAACACAAAATTAAAACATAAAAAACGCTTAAATAAAAACATTCAAATTCACAGATTCTCAGCAAACTATGAATTAAAAGAGCGCTGCTGAGGACATTTTACTTGCACACACACACACACACACACACACACACACACACACACACACACACACATATATATATATATATATATATATATATATACACACAGAGAGAGAGAGAGAGAGAGAGAGAGAGAGAGAGAGAGAGAGAGAGAGAGAGAGAGAAGAGAGAGATTAAATATTTCGGCCATACTAAACAAGGTAACACTTTTATTATAAGCTTTTATTAAGTTCGCTTTTGTTTGTTTGTTTGTTTACCTGCCTGGTACAAACTTTGCTTTCGATTTTAACACTATTTCAAGATAATCTGTGACAGTCTGGATATGATAAAGGGCACCATTCGTCCGGTCTCTTACTAAACTGTCCTATCCCTACATAAAATTGCATGTTACCCAGTAATGTGTTGGGCCCCTAACATAACTGCTGTATGTAGCTGAATGGGTTTTTTAGGATTTGCTCTCATCTGATTCTCATCTCTGATGCGTTAATCTTACGGACAGGAATCGTAAAGACGACCAATGTCGTTGACAAACTCGTCTGGAGTACTATTCACACTCCTGTCCGGTCAGGACTTCTCGTTAGTATGTAAAACCTGTAATGTGGTTTAACAGGGCTTCCGGGTTTCTATAGGTAGGAGGCGCGAAGCATTCCAGAAGTAGGGAAAAGAAACAAGAAGAGAAAGGATTCCCACTCTAAGGAGCTAGGACTTAAGTGTAGCGTTTGGGTGGAGCCGCCATATAACTGTTATACATTTGATCGGGTTTTCCGGCACAGTTAATCATTTAATATAGAGAATTTTTATTAATAGTAATTAATACAGTATAAAATCAGAATAAACCAAATAAAAACAAACTCGTTACATAATGAATAAACTAAAAGACAAATGAAATTTATCATATAATTTAATAGATGCAAGAGGGTACATTATTCTCTATGAATAATTTATTAACACTGTTATATTAGGACAAATAAGAGCGTGGGCCGCATAGCTTACAATATATTATAATACTCTACTCGACTTGACAAAAGTATCAGCGATTATCGTGATACATCTGATGAGGTGGGAAGCCAGAGTCTCAGACAGACATACACATGGTCGAACCGGACAGTCAGACAAATAGG